GATGCACGGAACGATCCTGAATGATAAACCTCAAACAAAGGATTAGAAAAAGGGGGCTGGGTGTAAACCCGACTAATCTCTTCCGAAGCTCAAGTTAGTCATCATTGAAGTCATGAGCACAATGTATTTTCTATTTTTAGATTGTGTACCTTGGTCTAGCTTCTTGAGAGGTATTTATACCTGAGTTTGCAATGATTGCAATACCCTTGAGTCACATCCAAGAATTTAATGGCACGCACTCATATACAAGCATCATAAGTGTCATCCCATCAAATCTTCTTATAACTAGTCTCCTCAGGTGAGTGAGCCTTTGCTCGAGAATCACCGAGCTCATCCCCCAATTATTAAATACCTCTTCTCGGTGCTTGACACTTATGCCCGAGTGTTCACTACTTAGAATAAGCACCCTCGGGTTTACCGAGGACTTCAGGTCGGTATACTGACCATTAATGTCTTGTAATGATGTCTGTCTTCACATTTTTTGAGGACCGGGACACTCATTAATGGCTTTGTTATAGCCACTCAAGACCCCATTAATGAGCTGTTAGATTCCTTTTAATGCTAGGCTCTGAGAGGCATACTCGGCCCTTCCTAACATAACTCCTCTGCGCCTTTCCAAGGCGCCCTTTGCATTCCTTAATGGTTGTAACCGTCCACGTGTTCATTTATTATTGTCAAGCCGCCTAAAGTCCTGTCAAGTTGGATTATCACTAACTAGAGTTACAACCAGAAGCTCATTACTAGGCAAATTAGTAGGTGATTCTAGAACTGGAGCGGGGAATTCAACTGACCTGGCAAGGTAGGGGTGGTTTGTACATTCTAACATCATGAATAAATCTTCAAAGTACTGAGTGGATCATTGGTACAATTACTCTGTTGCTCCCCCTAATTAGTATCCCATTGGACAAACAATGAAAGAAGGGGCTCCTCATATACCATCTCTTCATCAATAGTAGTGTTCTCTCTTTAAAGAGATAGCTGAGGAGGAGAAAAAAAGGATTCAAACTCACAAAAGGTAACATCTATGCTAACATACACCTTCTGTGATTGTGGATGGCAGCACTTATACCCCTTTTGGGTGGGAGAGTAACCAAGAAAGACACACCGCAAAGCTTTAGGATTAAGTTTCCCCCCGGATGATCTGTAATCATGTACAAAACAAACATACCCAAAAACTTTAGGAGAAAGAGAAGAAACGGAATGAACCAGTGAAATCCTTGAAAGACACTCAAGAAGGGACTAAAACTGTAGAATACTGGATGATAGACAGTTAATAAGAAAAGCAACAGTAAGAACTGCATCTCCCAAAAAATGCTGAGAGACATTCATAGCAAACATTAGTGAACGAACAATTTCAAGAAGATGACGGTTTTTTCTCCCCGCAACACCATTTTATTCTGTGTACTCACATAAGTGGTTTGTTAAAGAATTATCACTTTCGTTGAGGTAAAAATGAAATAACCATCAATGTACTCAGTTCCATTGTCACCTCAAAGGCTTTTGATTTTGGCATCAAACTGGGTACCAACCCTTTTATGAAAAATCAGAAACAAGAGAACACTTCATTTTTAATGTGTAATAAGTAAACCCAAGTAAGACGAGAATAAAAATAAATAAAAGTGACAAACCAACGATAACATGAAAAAGAGGCAACACTGGAAGGTCCCCACACATGAGAATGAATAATAACAAAAGGAATAGTGCTTTTATTATTAGTACTAGGATAAGAAGAACTTTTATACTTGGCCAATTCATAAGCATCACAAACAAAAAATTGCCTATTACACTGCTACATTAAACTAGGAAAAATATGATCTAAGACACCAAATGAGGAATGCCCCAAATGTCTGTGCCACTGATGAAAGATTTGAAGGGTCGAAATAACATTTGTCTAGAGACTTCAACAAGTGGATCATGGAGAAGCTGCATCATCCAAGAGATACAAACCACCATGTGCTCTACCATTGCTAGTCATTTTCCTCGATTCCAATTCTTGAAAAACACAATGAGTTGAAAAAAAGAAACTTAACAGTTCAAGGATTTTGAAATACTACTAACAAACAATAAATTAGTAGAGAAATTGAGAACATGGAAACAAAAAAGAGAGGCGTAAGGTGGGTGACCAATTGATTGAACTTTTCTCATAAATTGAAGATAAGGATCCATCTGCCACCTTTACTTCATCCCTATCTAAATATGTAAAGTATGGAAAGAAAAGATTAGAAGAACCTATCATATGGTATGTGGCTCCAGAATCAATTAATCAAGGAGTATGCGAGGATGATGTAGTAAACACGATAGTAGATGTATCAACATGAGCAAAGTTGGAAGAAAAGGTATGGTTAGGAGCTGGAGTAGAGGAGATATCAAGCAGAGCCATCATAAGTTTAAGAGTCTGCATCTCATCTTGAGAGAAATTAGAGGAAATAGACTAAGACGAAGGCTCTAAAGATTCAGTCATATGTGCATGAGATCGCACATTACCCCTCGGCCACATTTAGGGCGTCCAGTTAACTTTCAGCAAAACTCCCTAGTATGTCTGATTTTTCCACAATAGCCACACTTTAATGTTATCTTTGGCAGTGGTGCCACTCGACTCAATAAACTTGGACAAAGTTGAACTAAAGTCCCGCTAAGGGATCACAACTAATGCATACTGCTCTTAAATAGGTGTATGAACCATAGTAATCATCTTTTCCTCTTGCTGACCATAAGCATACGCCTCTCGTGGGATAGAAAATGGACTACAACCCAAAATCTGAACCTGAATCTAATCATACTCAATGTTAAGGCCACCAAGAAAATCATTCACACATTCTTTCTCTATTATCTATCTAAATTTTGCAGAAGCATCATTAGCACAGTTTGCTTGGAAATTCCGATAGAAGTCAAGCTCCTATCATAAGATAATCAACTCTGCATAATATACTACAAGAGTCTTACCCTTCTGGTTAGTCTCTTGGACTTTCTTCCAGAGATCATACGCCTTAACATCATTAAGCCTTTGAGAATATGTATACGTTATGGTTGTCCAAATCTTATGAGCTGTATCAAGCAACAGAAAACCACGACGGATAAAAGGTTTCATTGAATTAAGTAACAAACACAGAACCAGGACATTTTCAAATGTCCACTGCTTCAGTGGGAACTAGACTCACTAGGCCTCTTAGTCTCCCCAGTCAAATATACATTCAAAGAAATAGCTTAGATCGATAACAAGCAAGCCCGTGACCATGCCAAATAATTATACTCATCCAACTTCTCTAGACTAATTTGAAGTGAGGGGTTGCTTGCGAGAGCCACCTAAATGGCTCAACCCACTTCCTACGGTACTAATTGGGGTCACACTCCCTTCCAACATGTCCACACGATAGGATTGACACAAAACAGCAGTCAACAAGACAAAATCACAACCCAAAAAATTGGCCCACAACCAGAAACTACCACAGTCAGCACAAAGAGGATTCTGTGCAGAAGCCAGTAGTAACTCCAGGCCAAAACAGTAACAGATAGAAGAGAAGAAGGCAGAACAGTAGTAGAACTGGGTGCCGACAGGTCAAAAAGGGCTAAAAAAACTCACGAATCTAAACACAATCAAACTGCATGGGCATTGTATAAACAACCCTAGTCACACCTCACACACATGGATCGAACAAGAAACATCCCCTGGATTGCTTGGATTTCACAGATGGAAGCTTGAAATCGAAAAAATAAATTAAAAACATTCAAAAAATCGAAAGGCCAGCCAAATGACTTCAAAAAATTCCAAGAAAATACCCATAAATCTCAGCATAAGGAGCTCATTTTACACATGAAATTTCTAATTTTTCTGACAGTTTGGATGCTGACATCAACCTTACAGTTGCTGATGTCAGCAGTCAGCGAATACTGTTGCATTTTTTCAACGATCTCCGATGACTTTTCAACCTTTAAATGTAGATCTACCAAGTTAGAATGTGATGTAATTTTGGTTAGGAAGCAAATAGAAGAAGAAGAGATTAGGAGAAAGAGAGTAGTGTGTTAGAGTTAACACAAGTACACCTCAATATATATGACCACAAAATATCAAAATTAACCTTAAGGGTTAACACATTTAAATATAACATAACATAATACTCCCCCACTCTCTTAATTCAATTGGCATCCAAGACATAGACGTTGGTTTCCATATCGGTGGTTCTCTCATTTCTTGGCATGGTTCAACGTCGCAGTATCCAACTTCAACTCGGAGGGTATGAAGGCACATTAGTCGTGATATCGCAGCATAATATCGGCCAATATGTTCGAAACGGTAGATAAAAGGCCCCAAAAAAATTCAAAAAAAAAAAAAAGGCAACCATCACTATATATGCACCATATTCCCAAAATACATTAGTTAACACAATAAACATTGTGAAAATGAATTATAAGGACACTACAGAAAATATTACATTAAGAACCAAATATAACTAAATTTTTAAGCATTAAATATGCTATATTGATTATTTTAAACATCCTAGTCTTTAATGTGTATACCAATTTTGAAAAGGTTGTGGTTCAAAGAATATAACCCTCGTTAGAGGACAATGAGGGATTCACGCAACTAATCTCAAAATAATATGGACAAAGTTTTGTTGTGTTGAATTTTCGTATCTTAAAAGTTATCTTAATCACTATTTTACTTCCTTCATACCAATAAACAACTAGACTTAGCTAACTTGTGGACAAAATGCTATCATTTGGTAACACTGTTTTTAAGTAACTTTTCTAAGCAAAGAATCAGTTTCAAAAAAAAAACAAGCACATTTGATCAGTATACATACACTTATGTATGTCCCTAGATGTACTACTATATAAATGATTAAATTTAGATGAACGAACCCGAACAATGAAAAAACAAACATTACTTTAAAAAAGGCACTTGAAAAAAGCAAAAATGTAACAAAGTACTTTAAAAAATTATCAAAACGGTATTTCAGATTTCCCAAGTAGTGGTGGCAAAAAAAAAAAAAAAAAAAGTCCTAGAGGTGCTGTAGAAGGCACGACAAAGAAATCTGGGCTGGATCATAACTCTAAACTTCACATTGACCAACATTGATGCAAATCATGGTATAATAAAGGGTCCGTAGCATTGAACAAGGAACATACTTCTTCTAAAACAGAAGCTAAGTCTTCCCTGGTTGGAGCATCAGCATCATCAATGCCAAGCAACCTCCTCCGCTCGACTTGTCTCGGGTCCTCAATCAAAATGGTCAACTTAACCTACAAAGACACCAAAGTTAACGATGAAATAAGTCAGGGAGTTGTGATATAGTGATTATTGATAAGGAAATGGCACCACCATTTTATAGAACAAAAATTAGCAAGAGAGAAAAACTAAATAAAACTAACAGTAGTAAAAGTATTAGAAAAGAAAAACAACCAAAATTTTGGTTAAAAAGAAGGAACTTATATAGTGGGCTGCTCAATGGCTACGAGAAAAATATTTTTAGGAAAATACTTTTTGAACTTAATTTGTGGACATAATTTAATAACATAATTCAATGCAACCATTGAATTAAAAGTACACTCTACTTAACATTGGAATATACAACTAATTCAATAGTTGAATTGACTTAGATCCCCAAATTAGATCCTATATGATGTAGAACTAGTGCCTCGCGTTTACTTGGAGCACGAAGACCGTCGTTTGTCCAAGGCTCAAAGAAAAGCAAAATGGTCAAAATAGCTCGGACTCAGAATTTGTTGAAACTAGTAGTGTTTGATATGGATCGGGCCAATAATCAAGACTCATCGCTTCGTTATGAGTTCTTTCAATTTCGGGTCAAATTCCATCGTTTAGGTCCTCAAAATCCCCTTTTTGTCGTTTTCAGAAAAAATTCGAAAATTAATAATAAATCATAAGAGATTTCGAATTCAGTGTCGTCACTAGATTTAGACTACGGATGACATGTTCTTTTATGTTAATTAATTAGATTGCAATTTTTCGTTTTTTGTAATTTTCATATAATTAGGAATTTTACTTTTATTATGAGGACAATTAGGATTTTGGCCGTTCCTATATATATCTTCTTATGTAATACGAGTTATTTAATGAATAATATACATTTTTAAAGATATTCTCTTATTCTTTTCTCTGTGAATTCAGAGTTTATGTTCTATACACATAGAATCATAGTGTTCTTCGTCTTCCTTTATTCCACTTCATCAATTGGTATCAGAGCCTTGACTAACCTGGTGTGATGACTAATAAACATATCGGTAACAATCTTCCTAATGACAGTGATCATGTGGGTAACAGTTCCAACAGCAACAGCATCAATTCCAATAGCTCCAGCAATCCGTTCAAGCAATGCATGAGTTGGTTGCTCAGTTGAAGATGAGCCCGAACCTGGGTCTCGATCAAGAAAGGGTAAAGAATGGCGATAGGGCTCATGTTCAACCCAATCAAGATTGTAATCTTGTCTATCCCGCATGATAGAATATTCATAGTGCACCTGCGAAAGGAGCGCCGATTGCAGATTCTAGCAATGATGAAGATGAGGTCTTGTTCAGGAATACCGCAAATTATAGGGATCCTAGTCGTGATACTAATGATTTTCATATGAAGGTCGATCTACCTAGTTTTAATGGTCATCTTCACATTGAAGATTTCCTTAATTGGTTGGCCAAAGTATTGACTATATGGATGTCCCGGAGGAGAAGAAAGTTAAACTAGTGGCCTACAAGTTGAAGGGTGAAGCTTTTGCATGGTGGAAACTGACCCAACTTGCACGTTCTCAGGAACGTAAAGCCTCGATTCGTGCATGGTCGAAGATGAAGTAGTTGCTGCAAATGAGGATTTTACCTCCTAATTTTGAACAAGTACTATTCTTGCAATACCAGGATTGCGAGCATGGTAGTCGATATGTTCAAGCATATCCAGAGGAGTTTCTGAGGCTTTCCTCCCATAACAATCTGACTAAGACTGAATCTCAAAAAATTGCTCAATTTAGTGGAGAGTTTTCCTACAGATTCTATACTCTTTGACATAAACGATTCACCTAGCCACAAGGGTTGAATCCTAGTTGGATTGGGCGAGAAGTCAGGGGAAGAATCAGAGTTCCTTTGATTCATCACGCCCGGTGGTGAACCGAGGAAAGCAAGTTATGTGCGCACCAAATACTAATTCAACCCTAATTCGAGAAACTAGCATCAATGGGATACCCGCAAGGACAATAACCTCGAGATCGGGTCCAATAGTTAATGATGCACCAAAGAATCCCTATGTCAGGCCTGGGGGAGACAAGTGTTATTGATGTGGTCAATCTGGCCATCAATGTAACTAGTGCACTAAAAGGGGTGCAATAAGTCTGGTTGACACTGAGGGGGTTGATTGAGAGGAAGACTACCCGATGGAAGAAGAGACTACAAAGGAGGAGGATGAAAGTGCATGGACTTAGGGTGATGAGGGGATCTCTCTCGTTGTTCGTCAGCTAATGTATACTCCCAAGATTGAATAAAATATTGAGCAATACAACATCTTTCAGACCATGTGCATTATGAATCAACAAGTCTATCAATTAGTTTTAACAGTGACACCAGTGAGAATATATGTTGTAAACTCCCACATTCATATTATCAAATATAAAAACGTAATTATGTTTTTAAAATGCTAATATACGTAGTGGAGTATGCATGAACTAAGATCTACCATTCTCATCTCTATTTTTACAATTATCAGTAGAATCGGGTAAATATTTTGTTCAAACTTAGTTTTGAATTGTAAAAANTATACGTAGTGGAGTATGCATGAACTAAGTAGATGGTAAGAGTAGAGATAAAAATGTTAATAGTGTAGAATCGGGTAAATATTTTGTTCAAACTTAGTTTTGAATTGTAAAAATATGAAACCGTTTGCAATAGAACTTATATCAACTATGTTTGATGTACAAATGTATGTTGTATAAGTTTGGGTTGGTTTTGGAAGGATTTGGAATGAGTTTGAAATGAAAAATAGAGAAAATTGGCAAATTTGGACAGGACCTACCGGTAGTACGCTGTCCAGTAGGTCCGAACTACCGGTAGTCAACAGGTAGTAAATGTCCAGTAGATCCGAACTACCAGTAGTCAACAGGTAGTAAATGGCTAGTGAATCCGAACTACCGGTAGTCAACAGGTAGTAAATGTCCAGTAGATCTGAACTACCGGGAGTCAACAGGTAGTAAGTGACTAATAGATCCGAACTACGAGTAACTCAACAAGTAGTAAGTTGTCAGTGGATCCGAACTACCAGTAGCTCGATACGAACTACCGGTAGATCGTTAAAAATTCGGGATTTTCTGTTTTAAAACCCCAATTTTCACTCCATTTGCTCTCATTCTTTCACACCACTCTCACCCCACACCTCTTAGAACCCTAATGGAAAGACTTAGAGAGAAAGAGAAAATAAGAGTTTTAAGGGTGATTCAAGATCAAATCTTCTTGTCCTTCACACCAAAGCCAAGGAGAAAGGTAGGGGTTTTCTTCCTATTCTCTTACATTGAGGCTAAGGCTTAATTATATGTATGCTTTTGATTTTAAATCTTATATATAGGCTATAAAATCATTTTTTCTTGGGCTTTTACAATTATTAGCGTGTTTTAAACAAAGTTAGGGTTGAATACCCATGAAATCTCATTTTCTTGATATAAAATCCTAGTTTTCAAAAGAGATGGACTTTCTTCTTGATTCTTCCTTTGTTCTTGACTTTGAAACTTTAGTGTTTGGTGTTGAATAACAAAATAATATTGATGAGGATCTCTTGCATTTTCTTCAATTGTTCTATTGAAACACTACATGTGAAATTAGGGATTTATGAAATTATGTTATTTGAGGAAACTGTTGATATTGTATCTCTTGTGTGGTTGTTGGATAAACATGGGCAACTATAGACCGAGTATCTTGGAGTGTATAGACGCCTTTTTACTCCATATGGATTTAAACTTTTCCTACCACTCGTAGTTGGGTTAGTGCATTGCGAGGACTAAACCATTATCGCTCATGAGGTATTATGGAAAAAAGAGTAAGTATACTACTCTTTGGTTGGATACGTCACTGTCATGGTGTTGGTATACGCCTTTCCTAAAGGTTGGATATCCTTGCGATGATTTGTACGGATTGTACATGGGCCAAGATATATTTGATGGTATTCATGCGAGGTCTTACTTCATACCAAATATACAAATACAGTGGTGGGTTATTGTTCATTGTACCAGAAATAATTTCTACAAGAATTTTGAGAAGTATGGGATTCCGCAAGAGCTTGGGAGAAACGGTTTATGGTGGAATGGATTATTAGTTGTATATTGGTTTCACTTATGCATTAAATTACTATTGTTGCTTAAACTTGAGATCTATTTAAATGTCCATGTTTTATTACAAAATTCATATATGCTATTTGTGAAAGGTGACCGACCGTTTTTATATGTTTTTCTAAACCTTGTTCGAGTTTGAGAGGAATGTTGCTACAGAGTTTAGTGCTCACCCCCTACAAACTATGTTTTTCAAATTGTGGTTTAGAGGAAGAGCTTGAGGTTGAGGAACCAACACATTGGGAAGCTCCACTAGACAGGCTCACGGATCCCGAGGTGGATGTCTAAGGTTATACTCTCCTAGGTGATGGACTAGGAAATTTCTTTTAGGACTATATAAAGACTAGTCTTTTGCTATTTCGCTGCAAGTTTAAATGTGAATCTTTTGGGATGTAATTATCATAGTCGATCACATTCTTTGGAGATGTAATGGTCATGGTTGACCTATTCCTTTGGAAAAATATTGTAAATGTTATATTTGATGAATGAAACTTCTTTAATGATAAATTTATTTAGTTGCTCTTAAGATGTGAATGATTTATAGATTGTAATGTCGTCTAAGGTGGGTTTTGGGGCGTTACATATGTCAAAGGAGGTTATTGATTAGCTGCAATTTCGGACTAAGCAACACTCTTCTCCCTATACCATTGACTAAATCAAGAGCATGGGCGAGACTAAGATAACATAACAATGTCGTATCAATTTTTCAATTGGAAAATATAAAGATGATATTGTACGTGATATTGTGGATATGGATGCGTTTCTTTTTTTATTGGGGAGGCCATGATAGTTAGATGTAGCTGTTGTCCGCGGAGGGAAAGACAATACTTACACATTTTTTAAAGATAGTTTCAAGGTTGTTTTTACCCTCACTGGGATAGAGGTTGTCTCGTAGCATCTCCAGTTAAGAGCGGGTCCTTTCTTGTGGTACTGGCTATTAAAGGGGATATGAAAGAAAGTGGAGAGGTGTATGCCCTAGAAGTAAAGGATGAGGAGGTAAGGGCAGTTGTAGTGTTGTGAAAAGCGAGCCTAGGCGAGCGCTTAGGCGAGAATCGAAGCGAGCCTTGAACATCCAAGGCAAAGAGAGGTTAAGTAAAGCAAGGAAAAAGCGAGCTTAAGCGACGAGGCAAAGAAGCGAGTCAGGCGAGAAAAACGAACGCCTACCTACAGTTTTTTTTTCTCCTCCTCCTCCTTTAACATTAACCAAACCCTAATAGAAATAATGTTATATGCGTATATATATAAAATAAATTGATTAATTCGTGTAACAGTATCATATGACAACATGTCTTATTATGATTAGATAATGTTGAACGCTTTGTTTTGATGTGAATGCTCTTGTTAATCAATTTGCTACTGTATTTGATTAATTAATTTGTGAGTGCTTTGTTTAGTAGTGATATTAATCAATCACGGTGGAAGTTGAACCCACATTTGTTAACTTTATATTTAGATGACGTGATTATGTCAATTGATTATTTTTAAAATACAATATTGTTCAATATTTAATATCTTGTCTATTTAAAATATGTTGATCTTTATTAATTTAATTGCATTTAAATATTTTGTATTTGTAAAGTTAAAATTTGAATATTAAGGAATAATCAAAGTATGAAACTAAAATATTTACTTATTTTTTATATTGTTCGTTTCGTTTCACTAAAGCGCTCGCTTTGCTTCTCGGTTAGGCCTTCAGGAGCCCGGTTCACCTTGATTCGCTTTACGCCTTAAATAACACTGGGCAGTTGACCGTACACCAATTCTTGATGTGTTAAGGCCATTGTTGGCGAACTTTAAGGGGATCATGCCAAAGAAGTTACCGGATAGTTTACCCCCTCTGAGGAACATATAACATCATATTGACTTGGTACCTAAGGTCAGTCGGCCAAACTTACCCCATTACCGTATAAGTATCAAAGAGTTTAAACTCCTAAAAGATCAAGTTGATGAGTTATTGCGAAAGAGGCAGATTAGGATGAGTATGAGCCCTTGCACTGTCTCTGTTCTACTCACTCTTAAAAAAGATGGGAGTTGGAGAATGTGTGTTAATAGTCGGACTATTAACAAAATTACTGTGAAGTATTGATTTTCTATACATCGATTAGATGACATGCTAGATATATTGGAGGGTGCCGAGATATACTCTAAAGTTGACTTGAAGAGTGAGTACCATCAGATCCGCGTTCATCCAGGTGATGGTGATGGTGATGGTGATGAGTGAAAGTCTACCTTCAAAGCTTAGGAGGGCCTATATGAGTGGTTGGTTATGCCCTTTGGTCTCTCCAATGCCCCCACCACTTTTATGAGGATTATGAACCAAGTGTTCAAGCCTTTCATTGGAAAATTCGTGGTCGTTTACTTTGATAATATTCTTATTTATAGCAATGATGAGACTGACCATTTGTAACACTTAGAGAGCAATTTTACAGCTCTGCTGAAGAATAGCTTGTTTGTGAACTTTAAAAAGTATAGTTTCATGACTGATAGCCTTGTATTCTTGGGCTACGTAGTTAGTGCCACCAGTATCTCTGTTGATGATGAGAAGATTTGGACTATCCAAGAGTGGCCTACATCATGAACAGTCGGTGAAGTTCATAGTTTTCATGGCCTTGCAACCTTCTATCGGAGGTTTGTGAGGAATTTTAGCACTATTGCAGCACCTCTAATTGATTGTCTAAAACAGAAGCAATTGCAATGGACTCGTGAAGTAACAAGGAATTTTGAGATAGACTGTGATGCTTCTTGTACCAAAATTTGAGCAATTTTGTCGCATGAGGGCAGACCCGTAGCATTCTTCAGTGAGAAGCTTTGCGAGGCCAGACAGAAGTGATCTACATATGAGCAAAAGTTTTATGCAGTTGTGAGTGCCTTGCAACACTGGCAGCATTACCTGATTAAGATTAAGTTTATTCTGAATACAGATCAACAAGCGTTAAAGTATCTCAATAGTTCTACTACTACCAACCGCATACATGCCCGATGGGTTGCTAAAATTCAAAAATTCACCTTCTCCCTCACCCTCAAGTATACATCTAGCCAGTTGAACAAAGTGGTCGTTGCCTTGAGTCGTCGGAGTATGTTATTGACCACTATTCGTAGTGAGGTGATCAGGTTTGATTACTTAAAGGGTTTATACGCAAATGATGAAGACTTTCAGGAGATGTGGGCTCAATGTTTCGATACACATGGAACCTTAAAAGACTTTCATATTCATAATGGATTTTTATTCAAAGCCACTTGGTTTTACATATCCAGAGGATCCTTGCGTGAGCATATCGTTCGAGAGTTGTACAGTGATGGCTTAGGAGAGCATATAGGCCGAAATAAAAGTGTGGCTTTGGTAAAAGAACGTTATTTCTGGCCACAACTGAAGCGGGATATGGAGCGATTTGTCAAGCAATGCTACACATGTCAGACTATCATGGGACATGCGCAGAATATTGACCTCTACACTCTCTTCCCATTCCAAATGCACCATGGGAAGATATGTCCATGAATTTTGTGTTGGGTCTTTTGTGGACTCAACAAGGTGTGGATTCCATTTACATTGTTGTTGATAGGTTTTCTAAGAGGGCTCACTTCATTCCATGTAGGAAGACCTCAAATGCTTCTCATCTGGCTCATTTTTTCTTTCGGGAGGCTGTTCGTTTGCATGGCATCCCGAAGACCATCACTTCTGATCGAGACAAAAAGTTCTTTGGCCACTTTTGGCGCACTTTATGGAAACCATTGAACACTTCATTGCAATATAATAGTTCAAACCATCTACAGACTGATGGGCAAATTGATATGGTGAACCGGATATTGGGGAATAATATGCGGAGTCTTTGCAAGGAGCACCCGAGGAAATGGGATAACACCTTGTACCAAGTTGAGTTTGCTTACAACTATATTCCCAATAGGTCTACTGGCAGGTCCCTTTTCAGATTGTCTACATCCGGACACCTACACATACACTTGACCTAGTTTTCGTACCCAAGCTTTCGAAGATGAGCATTATAGCTAAGCACATGTTGGAGAAGGGGACAGATATGCATGCCGAGGTGAAGCAGTAGTTGGAGAAGTTAATGGCCAAGTATAAGGATAAAGAAGCAGCAAACAAGCATCGCCGCCAGAAGCTTTTCGCGGTGGATGACATGGTGATAGTTCATTTGCACAAGGTGCGCTTACCCGTGAGGACTTATAACAAGTTGAACCAAAAGCAGATTGGCCCTTTTCAGATCTTGAAGAAGACCAATGAGAATGCTTATATTGTTGATCTTCATGCGGATATGGTCATCTCTAATACTTTTAATGTGCAAAACTTGTTCGAATTTCATTCTGATTATATAGAGCTTCCTCAAGTTAACTTGAGAACAAGTTGTTTTCAAGAGAGAGAGACTGATGTAGAACAAGTGGCTGTTGATTATTTGGAGCAGAAAGACCGTTGTGTGTCCAAGGCCCAAAGAAAAGCAAAAAAAGTGATAGTAAAGGCAAAATGGTTCAAACTCATAATTGATTGAGAACAATGGTGTTTGATATGGATCGGATTAACAATCAAGACTCATCGCTTCGTCATGAGCTCCTTTAGTTTTGGATCGAATTCTATAGTTAAGGCCCTCAAAATCCCTTTTTTTTACCATCTAAGAAAAAAATTTGAAAATTAATAATAAATATAGGAGATTTCAAATTTAGTGTCGTTAGCTGGGTTGGACTCTAGAAAACATGTGCTTCTATGTTAGATTGCAATTTTTCATTTTTAGTAATTTTCGTATAATTAGACCTTTTCCCTTTATTATAGGGACGATTATGGTTTTAACCGATCCAATAGATATCCTCTCATATATTACGAGGCATTCCGTGAATAATATATCTTTTTAGAGATATTCTGTTATTCTTTTCTCTCCAAATTCAGAGTGTCTTTTTTACACTTAGAATCATAGTGTTCTTCGTGTTCATTTGTTCTGCAGCATCACTATAACATTACTATTTCAACTATGTAGGATTGAAACATGTCAAGTGACTGGGTCGATTAGAATTGAGGATAACTCTTAACACTTATATGATAGATTCCAAAAATCTAACAAACTCGTTGAATCGTAATTTTGACTTTTGACTTCTTAAAAAAATTAGTATGATACCGAGATTCCTTAAAAGAAAAAAAAAATTATGAAGCAAAGGGAAAGGGAAGAGAGAGAAATACCTCGCTAAAAAGCATGTCTCGGTTTCTCCTGAGAAGCTCCAAAACCTACCAAAACGTTTGGTTCTAAGCAACATTAGTGGAGGAACTGAAGAAAATGGAAACTAACTCCGGACAAGAAACATTCACACCACATACACACACAATGAATAACAGAAATAGGGTGGACTAACGGCACGCAACTCTCTTGATTTGGGAGACGTATTCGACGTCTTGGGGATCAGGGTCTGAGTCGTTGTTTTGCTGGGCTTCTTGGGTGGAAGTGACACTCACTTCGGTGTCTTCCTTACCAACAAATGCACGTCCTGCACTACTTATACTTCTCTTTCTCCTCCTCTGGCGCAAGAAGGGTGGACGGTGCTGGTGGCAGAAGCAAAGGGTTGGGAGGGCAGACGAAAAGGTGGAGGTGGAGGTGGAGGTGGAAGTGGAAGTGGTCGATAAGGGTACCGCAAATGGCAATGCGAAAAGGTGCAAAGCCATTTTATACGTATCTATCAACTGTCTCTCTACGTGTATGTATCTATATATATATAAATTGATATGCTATTGGCATTTTAAAGTACTCATGAAAGAAAGCTGATTCCCTAATGAGTCCGAGTGCTGGTCTGCGGGAGAGAGGGAAGGAAATTCACTTCCAAGGAAATGCAATTGTGAAAGAGTAAAGGAGTGGCGTTGGCTGGCCCAGCTTCTCTCTTGTGATTTGGGTTCAAAATCGCTTCAATTGTCTACTAACTTATAAGTGGCCACCAGAAGACATCGATAAGGTCGCACTGATTTGACTCGACTCAACTACTACTCATTCGAGTGAACACGGTATTCTGACGAAAAAAAAAAAGAAAGAAATAGTCGCAGAAATGACTTCCGGTCTCAAAAGATTTTTTTGCTATGTATTCCCTTGCAATTTATTTTTGTTTACAGAGGTAATTAAGGATAGGAATGCAACTTGGACACATTGACCCGAATTCAGCCCGACCAATATGGTACTTGGAGGAAATTTACAGTAATCACCTAATCAGATTGCTTACTAAAAAAAAGTTAATTATATTGGAGATTCCTAAAATATGAGATTATTTTATTTTGATTCATAATATTTTAATTGCATCATTTTTGTCCCTTAAATATTGAATATATTTTTATGTGATCCCTCGTACAGAAAGTATTTAGATTGCTAACGATTTTTTATTATAAACTTATCACGTAATACCTAAATATGTGAAAAAAAATAATTTTGATAACTATTGACCAAATTTTTACCTAAATTTTGGTCAAAGAGCTACCGAAATTATCTACTTTTAATCATGAGTTATCCAAAATTTAGTCAAGAGCTATTCACATTACACATTTTTTGGTCAATAGTTATCCAAATTTTGGTGAAGAGCTACCCAAATTATTTTTTGTTCATAAGTAGGTATCACGTGATAAGTTTATGATAAAAAATCGTTAGCAATTTGGGTGTTGTCTATTTGAGGGACCACATAGAAACATATTTAATATTTCAAAGACCAAAATAATACAATTAAAATATTATAGACCAAAATGAGATAAATTCTACACTTTGAGGATCTTCAATACAATTAACCCAAAAAAAAAAATATCCAACAACCAATTGCACATTGAATCCTGAAATATTTAAAAAATCTATTTTGTACTTTCAATGTATTAAAAGTATTGTTTGAATTACTCATTCTATCAACGTCGATGGGATGGTTTTTATGGAATAAGAAATGGAAGGGCCGCATTATACTACTTTTATTATATTGATGATGTAATGTGAGTAATCTAATTTTTTAGGGTGCAAAAAGTCAAAAATCTTAAATTTTTTGATGTGCAAAGTGAATTTCTCCCGAATTTGAATATAGGTAATTTCGGATTATGGTGTCGAGTTACCCAACTCAATCCCAATTGCATAAAATTGTGTGTGTTCAACGCAAATATTACATAATATATACTATATGAGAAAAAATGGGAGAGAGAAAAAGAGGTTTCTCACTTCTACATCCCTCTTCCCTCTTTTGCAGTGTGTGATCTCTTATATACACTTTCCATCAATTTTCTTCATTATTCTTTCACCTATCATATATGGATGGGCCCATTTATAAATAGTGTGCTCAATGCGAATGCATTATGGGTAACTTATCATTGATGAAAATTAAGAAAAAAGTGAATTGGATGACATCTAAATCCCTCCTCTTCCCCCTCCTCTTCTCCCACCGTTCCCACAACCACCATGAATGTCCTGAATAGAATTAACAGACTCACTGTCTATGCTTAGTTGTTTACCCACATTTCTCTCTATTTCTCTCATTTTGTTCCTCTATCACCTCAAATCCTAACTCCTCTTCCAAACCCTAATTAGCAAGTTCAACCACATTTCTCTTATTTTTTCTCTCTATATCTTCAATTCTTAACCCTAGATTTTTCTCTTCCGACCAAACTCTAGATTTTTCACTTATGTAGAAATTTTTCCTAGATTTTTTCTCTATCAATCATCATCAACCTAAACGACTTTTATGTGAAACCCGGAACACTGAACAACCACAGGGAATAGTCCAGCCCAAAAACTCTAACATCACATAAAATTAAAAGCATAATACTTAACACTTATAGCTCAACCTAAAAGAATGAGTTGTAATAATCATACTCTTTTTTCATCTTCTCCTAATTGCACAATTGACATCCACTTGCATCTAACTCGCACCAACAATGTGTTTTTTAAATCCGGAACGTCGACAAACCTTAGTATAGTCATATGAATCAAATTGAAGATTCTTAGTGGTAAAATCGTAAATTTTGAGAAATTCAAAATAGCCCGTGAACAATATTTTTCGGGGCTACTATGTTTTAAACTCATTTGCTCTCATTTCCTTCACTCCCCTCACACCCCCACACCTCTTGAAACCCTAGAGGGCATTAGAGAAGAAGAAAGGAAGGGAAAAAAAGAGATTCAATGGTGATTCAAGATCAAATATTCTTGTTCTTCACTCCAAAACTAAGGATTCAAGGTAGGGGTTTTCTCTCATTCACTTACATTGAGACTAGGGTATTTATATATGTATGTGTTTGACTATCAATGGTATATATATGCTATAAAATCATCATCTCTTAGGCTTTTTGCAAGGATTACATGTTTCGAATAAAGTAGGGTTTAATACCCATGAAATCTCCTTTCTAGTTTTAAAACCCTAATTTTTGGAGAGTGGTGTATTTTCTTCCTAAATGTTTTCTTTATTATGGATTTCGAAACCTTAGTGCTTTGTGTTGGGTAGAAAAATAATGTTATTGTGATCTCATGTATTTTCTTAGTTGATTTGTGTAATTGTTATATGATATATTTTGAAAATTTTCGATCGATGCTTGTAAATTGAGATAAATATTGAAATTGTATGCTTGGTTGGGTTATTTGTGATACACATGAGTGAGAGGTTCCTTGTAAGGATGCTCACCCCTTTCCAAGAGGTTCCTGGTAAGGATGGTTGGGAAATAATGTAGTGATTAGTGAGAGGTTTCCATGTAAGGATGCTCATCCATTTTCAAGAGGTTCCCAATAAGGATGCTTGAGAATCAAAAGTGACCTAAAGGGAGTGGAGGTTACCACAAAGTATGCCACCTACCGAAAGAATTGTTGGGAATTGATTATGACAATTAATGGTTATTATTTGTATGTGGTGCTCGTTTATTCATTTAAGTAATATTTTTAAATAAACTTGAAATCATTTTTAAATGTCACTGCTTTATTTCAAATTATGTATCTATGTTATGTTAAAATTGAGACCGACCGTTTTAAATTCTATTATAAACCTTGTATGAGTTTGGGAGAATTTTTCTACAGAGCTTCGTGCTCACTCCCTATCGCTAACATTTTTCAGATTACCCGCTTGAGGAGGAGGACGTAAGGGTCGAGGAGCCCGCTACTTGGGAGACTCCACGGGACGGGAGTGTGGATCCCGAGGTGGACGCATAGAGCGACCTCCTTTCCTTTTGTACTAGACTAGGACATTCTTTTGGAACATTGTGTAGTATAACTTCTTTTGTTTATTTCGCTGCATTTCTTTAATTAATTTTTGAGATGTAATAGCCATGACTTGGGCTTATTGTTTTGGATAATGTTGTAAATATTCGTGGATGACAAATAAAGTCTTGTTTCTTAAGGGATTATATTAGTGCTCTCATGATATGAATGGTTTTAGAATGTAATGTCGTCCAGGGTGTGTTTTGGGGCGTTACAAGATCCAATTGATCAAGTAGGGAAAATCAGATATTTTCCCCTATTTAAGTCTTTAATTGTGCGGTCCACGTTGCACCAGACGTTTCTTATTTTCAGGTCCCTTTTTGTCCCGAAACGACTTAATTTCATCCTGGTTTAAGTTCAAATTATTTATTTGTATTTTTCTTCAATTACAAGGAAATTTTATAAATTTTATTTTTAGGGACGTTTGTGAGGTCACCCAACACCTAGTTATCTCGTAAAACGTAAAAAATTCGACTATTTCAGAATTCAATAAAAATTGACAGGATAACTAGATTTTGTGAGACGAATCCAACGGAGAGGTTTGTTGCATCATCTGAGCTCTAGAAAAATACAGATTTTTAATCCTCATTATAGTGGCAGAAAACCGTTTTGCCATTTTTAAGAAAAAGTTCAAATTTATCTGGGTTTTACAGATGTAGAACTAAATTGTTAATTTTTTTATTTTTATTTTATTTAATTGTGTTGTTAGAATTAGAATTTAATTAGGAGTTTTGTAGGATATTTAGTTTCTAACTTGTCAACTTTCCTAATTCCGTTAGACATATGTTTTTTTTTTCTTTTTTGGTAACTTTCTTAGGATTAGGAATTTATATCTATTATGAAAACCCCTTATGGTTTTGGAATTCCTATAAATTATCATATGTACTACAAGTTCTAATAAATTAATTGAATAATATTGTATTTTGAGAGATTATCTTCCTTTTCTTTATAGATTTAGAGTATTTTTTATTTTTTACACTTAGAAACAATGATTTATTTGTGTCCTTCATATACCACTACATCAATTGGTAACAGAGCCATGACTAACCCATCATGATTTCTAATCAACGAAGTCATGGCTACTTTTTTCGTGACTGTAACCATGGAGAAAAGGGTTCTTTCAAGAACCGAATTCTTGAAGTTTAAGGAACAACAACAACAACAATTCCAGCAAATCCAACATTTTTTGCAAGAATTGCTTATTATGGTTGCCTAGTTGACATTGAGTTCGAACCAGGATCTCGATCAAGAGTGTGTGCGGAATGCTAATAGGACTCGTGTTTAGAGTACAACTAACTGAGTATCATCTATTGTACTTTCCAATGATGTTGAGGAATCATCTCTATATCAAGATACTTTGAGTGAGAGTTTTTCAAATAGGGGACATAGAGATTTTGCAATTCAGAACTGCAAAAGTTTCGTACTTTGTCAATTTGTACCAAGAATTAAGATGGCCAAACTAGTACAACTT